CCCCCCCCCTTTTAGGAGCTAAAAAAAAGAAAAAAAAAGAAAGAAAAAGAACGATAGCCCACAACGCCTAAAATGTTATTTTTCGGGCGTCTAGAACAAAAAAATTTCGCGGGGGCATGCCCCCGGACCCCCTAGGACATTGTTGTCTCAATCGGCCCGACTTTCGCCCCCCCCCCCCCCTTTTGGACATCTCTGGATCCGCCCGTTATACCTAATAAGAAATTAATCAATGGCTTTATCTCATCCTGAAGATGGTCCAGTTTTGAAACCTGCATTTCAGCGGCCCGACTTTCGCCCTCCCCCCCTTTTGGACATCTCTGGATCCGCCCCTGATGGTTGGTGTGGTTCCCCCGCCTACAAGCGCCAAGCGCGAGAAAGTTTTGCGCAAAAGACTTTTGGGGGCCCTGTCAACCTGGAGGGGCCCATCATTAGGGGACCCATGCCATTATTGAGGGTTCATGATAGCAATTGAAAAAACAAAATAATACCTGCAATTTCTATGGGCCCCTGGTAAGCTTGGGTCCCGGGGATCTTTCACCTTCCCCCTTTCGGCGGTACTGTCTCCATAACAACTCAGTAGATCAGGACGTTTAGTAGCCATAAAAAAAAAAACACATTTAAAAATTATTCCTACGGGCTGTAATAAAGTTTGTAAGTGGCAACTTTTTAGATGATATGTTTATTCACTCATGTATTTATGTCAAGTGGTCCTCGTTTAACATTTTTTTCATTTGTATTTTAAGTCTAATATTATAATTCTTAATAACATTTTAATGTACTTTTGTTTGCGTGTATTCGGTAACTTCTTTAATATTGTTATAACGTGATAAATGTTTAGGTTTGAAGTGTTCTGTAGTACGGTATATTTGTATTATATTTGTAGGAGTGGTCAAGTTTTTATATTTGTATATTTGGTCAAATATCTATTAGGGTTTTAATGTTAATTTCTACTTAAATTTTATTGTATTGTTTTTTTGTTTGAGTGGTTAGGATTTCTTAATTTACATGTACGTTATTTCTATTAATTCTATAATAGGACTAGCCAAATCATTACCGGTACTTTCATTTCATGTCAATACAAAATTATTTTCTCATCTTATCATATCTCCTGTGAAGGGGCAGCTCCAAGTCTCAACCTGCGAACATAACAGTAAAGGACATCATCAAAAAAGGTTATCCCCATGTTATTTTAATTTAGGTGTATGAAGATCGAAAGAGGCTGCATTGTAAATGCCAGTAAATGGACTGATTGGTCTGACAAACAAACCTACAGAAATGTGACTTCGCTGAGAATAACAATTTGAGGGCGGCTGAACTGTCACTGTTAGAGCGGCTGAACCACCACTACTGTGAGGGAGCTGAATAACCACTGTGAGCGCGATTGATTTCAGTTGGCAGAGCGTTAGTAGCGATTGAACTGTCGTTCACGTAAATGTTGCTGGTTCCATTCCCGCAGCTGTCCATACTTTCTTTCCCTTATATACTCTTTAATTTACTGGGCAGATTATTTCTAAATTGTTGTAAATATATTACATTGCGCCAACATGTTCTTGCTTCTCCGTTGATTGGCCTATGCAGAAATGAGTTAGTGTTATAGCCAGTCCACACGTCAATGTCGTCAACAAGACACACGAAAATGACACAGTATTATTATTTCTCTCATCAATTGAGCAGGATATGTTGCGCGTTATATAACAAAAATATCTAGAACGTTCTTAACTTTGATAGCCGCTAACCATAAACGACTCAGTTGTCGAAAACATTCATTTCAGATGGATTCATGTGTCTCAAGTTTGTATTGGCAAAGTAATGTTAATCAGCAGGTAAAAGGGACCCAGCAAAAACAACAGCTCCTTTTGCCAAAATCTGTGGTCTACTAAAGTCATTTGAAACTGTTCCATGTCCATAGATTTTACTCGTAAAACCATCATCCGTTAGTCTAGTAGGCCCGTAATTTTTGAGATGATATTTAGATATGAAACATGTGGCTTAATTGTACTTAAAGCTGTAGCCAGCTATTGGAACATTTGAGACAGTCCCACACAGTTTTTCTAATGAGTCCACAAAGAATGGTTTCACATTCTTAAAAATGGGTCCAAATTAAGCAATTTCAAGCATAAAATGAGTTTACTTTTTGAAAAATAAGTCCAAATTTCTCATATTTTTAGCCTGAAAATGGGTAAAATTTTAAGAAAATGGGTCCAGATTTTGCATATTTTTGCGTAAAATGAGTCAACTTTTAAGAAAATTTCATCCACAATATTTGAATATACAAGTAAAGTGGGTCCACCTAATATTGTCCAGCACTGTTTTAAAATTTGGACTACGGCATTGCATGTACTATATTCAAATCATAGATATTGAAAAGCTTATGGCTTACATAGTCTGGGGAGATTTATCATCTTTTGATCTGCACGCTTACATGGGTTATAATTTGGAGGGATGCCAATTCTTAAAAAAAAAATAAAATAAAATCTTATCGCATCCTAAAACAAAAATTAAATATTTTCAGAAGTTGCCATTGGCTTCTGACCTTCATGATTTTGTGTTCTAGTCGTAATGGCTCTGTAGAGGCTAATCATATCTACGTTTTGTTTATAATTTCTATTCTTTTTTAATATAAACAACGAGATAAGAAGCAACTGACCTAGACTCTTAAGCCTGGTCTCGTATTATTGCTTCGTTCTCACGAACAATTTCTCCCACGTTTTTGTAAAACAGATCGTCATGTTTTTTTCAATAATAGTTTCGCTTACTTAAACAGAAGATAGATTACATATCAAGATAGCTACTATTACTTTAGCATGAATACACGTTAACCTTTAGTGACACGTTTTTATTTGGTGGTTTAAATAATAATCAAGTGTTGGGATATAATTATTGAATTTCATTCAAAGCCGCAAATATTAATTCAAGCAATTATGGGAATTGAAGATAATAAAGTTCGGATGAACAATATTCAGTTTAGAAAAGAGACGTATAGGGCCTAGCATCATTAAGTTGAAACCAAAGGCCGACTATTCTCGCTGACGTGGAACTATTGGTATGTAAGATATCATATGCTAAGTTGATCTGCCAAACTAAGATAAAACAAAATTCATAAAATATTAATAAAAAAAGTGTGAAAAAAACATCAGGGAATAGTTGAATTAGCATCAACTGCATATTCAACTAAATGTCAATAATTGCTAATGAATTACTCTTTAAAGAACAAATCAAACTCACTAATCGCAAAAGTACCTGTTAACTGTGTATTTACTACTAGCGTTTTTTAATTAATACTCTTTGAATTAAACATTGTAGCCCTTGCATAATTAGAATACCATCACTGTTAGCATTCTTAAAATGCTTCTAAATAAATGGGAACGTTACGTCGACAATGTAAATCATAAC